TTTTTTGTTTTTTTTTTGTCTGATACATCTTTGATTCGTTTCGGCGTGAAAGCAACAAAGCACGTGAAATTTGTAATCATAGCACACGTATACGCCTATGAGGTATACCGATCTCTCCCATTTTCAATTTTCTTTCTTTGCAAAAATACTTTCATCTTGCACGCGATACTTGCGATACGGAGTATAGACCAAACGAATCAAAAAGCTATTACATTGTACGCTACCCATAAAACTGAGGCAAAAAAAATGTAATAGGTAGTTGAGAATGGGTTGCATATATACGTGTATAAGCCAGAGCGGACGATTCGGCGACACGTGGAAAGCATCGAAGCGATCGGTATAGGCCAGGTGCACGACCGGTGCTGCCCTCATTTAGTTGTAATCTTATGGAAGAAAATAGTTCAAGTGGCCATCATTGGCCAAGTTCCCCTGAAAGCCCACAAGCCCCAATGTCCACCCTCGTGCGCCCAACGTATACTTGTTGCAACGTAAGCTCTGTTATATCGGCGCGAAGGTGACAAATGTACGAAAAGGAGGCCAAACTCACCGAGCATCTTGCTGAGATCGGCGTTGTGGAGGTCAGGGTTCTCGTCGGCGAGTTTCTTGCGCTCGACCTTGGCCCACACCATGAAGGCGTTCATCGGCCGCCGGATGCGCTGCTCCTTGAGGCTCCTGGCAGCCGCCGAGGCGGCCCCGGGATGGCACATCTTCACCCCGGCGCCCATCGGACCCAAGCCCTGCTGGTAATCCTGCAACGACGGCCCCGTCGCCAGCCACGACATGTCGTCCAGCCGCTGCTGACCTCCGCTCAGCATCCCCGGCATCTGGACGAGTGGAAGATTTTTTGTTGTTGTTATTTTTGTCCGTCACAAGTACGATTGACGCGTGGAAAATACCCGCGCTTAGGCTCGCTTCGCTCCGACGGGCGTTAACTCATCCCCCCCTCGAAAATGAGCATCGGTTACCAAAGCAAGAGCACAGATTTCACTTGGAGCGGCCAAGAAAGAAATTCCTTTTAAAATCGGTAATTTACCGAGCAGTGGGGGAGCAAAGGATCGGCCGTCCCGTCATTTATGTATACACGCGCCGCGAAACGAAGGAAGGGAAGATAAAGATGCCCGACTGGCGTAAATTATTCAACTTATTTCCCAGGGACACCCCGGCCCCTTTCACGTGCCATTTCGCCTCGAGGGAGCAAAGTGCCAATCCTGCGGGTCGCCGGCGCGCGACGGAGCGTCTCTCTTTCTCTTTCTTTCCCGCGGAGAGTGAACCGATCGCCGATTTCCGGTCCGAGGAAATGGAAAAGGCTCGCCGGGGAGAGAGAGAGAGAGAGAGAGAGAAGGACTTTTTGTTCTCTTACCGGTATGATCTGCGTGTCCATCGACATGGGGCTCTCGTTGCCGTCGATGCCCGAGTCTATGTCGAAGGCCCTCGACGTGGGCGTAGCGTACAACGACGAGTGAAGCGCCAGCAGACCAGGCGAGCCCGCGTACCCGCTCGACGGCGGTGGTGTCACCTCGCCCCGCTCGTAGCTGTCCAACATTCTGCACGGATCACAAAACAAGCACAAATATTTTTACATTATCATTGCCACTGTTGCTGTTTGTTACGTACATACATATATACATATATATAATGTGAGCGCTACGATATCATGTAGTTCGTGCTCATTTATGCATCATGTATATATTTTAATTGGCACTTTGAACGGTTCGGGAAAATTGCGTTTATTTTCTCGAAAAGTTCAAAGTATCGGTAAAATATACGAGCAATGGAAAAGAATAATTCATGCATACAGGATGTGATACGGAAAAATTAAAAAATAACATAATAATAAATAGTAACCAGAGCTGTTGCATGTAAGAGTAGAATCGGAGCACTCGATTGGTCACGCAAGCACAATCGGACGCATCCCCAAAGTGAAAATCGACACTGTATATTTATACAGACAATAGGAAGCGAGTATACAGCATATACTTATAGTTACATAATAGCGACATCAAATCAAATGTCGCGTCAAAGCGGACAGATGATGTTTAGAGCGCAGTAGCAGGGTATCATACGCGAGCCGCGCAGACCAATTGTGTACCTCTTGAGATCTCTTGGCCGCAGCAGCGCAGCAATTATCCACGCGGCAAAACGACGTGTTGCCACTCGCCTCCGATACATATACATAATATATCATGTCCCCATCTTCCTCCAATTGAAATCGATTCGATGCGAGTATTCCGCTGCACACGTCACTGCTGCAGATAGCGGTGGGAAGGGGATGGGGGGGGGGAGAAAATACGCGGATTATTTTCAATTACGCCGTGGCGGAGATTCCTCCGCGTCTCTCTCTCTCGCGCGGCTCGTGCATTTATACACGTATAGGGTTGTACTCAGCGCCCGGTACGCTTATGTCAAGTGTAATTGAGTTCGGCCGAGAAGAAGAAGAAGAAGAAGAAGAAGCTGCATGCGCGTGGGCACGCGCCACGTCGGGGCAAAAAAAAACCCGCTTGATGCACTTATGTATATATGTATATATACGGAGGAGGGTGGCAGAGGAGGGGAGACAGAGAAAAAGGTGCGCTATATGTACAGTGGTGATGCGAAGAGCCCGTGGTGATGGGCAGCGCGTGCCTTGTAAATATGAACGCGGATAATTTAGCGGGAGGTATATATACGACGTGCCGGCTCGATGAATTTTTATGAGCTATTATGTACGATTAAAAAGGGGGAGGGGCCTTTTTTTCTCTCGTGCGCAACTGGATCGGTCGTTTGTTGTTTTGGGTATACTTTGTTTTTTTTTGTTTTTTTTCGAAATTCATTGGTTTTTCCTTATTAAATTGGTACAATGTACAATACAAAATGTCCATAGGATGATGTTTGTATGAAAAAAAAAAAAAAAAAAAAAAAAAAATTTTAAAAAAAAAAAAAAAAAAAAAAAAACATGTCTAATGACAAAAAGAGACACACAGTGGCAGGAGTTTAACTATCAGATGCGGAACTTGAACGGTGTGTCCATATAAGGTACATAGTGGCTGTGAGCTCGTCGACGATTGATCTGTCAAGCGGCGAGGAAGAGTATAAATGGGATCTTTCTCGCGGTCTTGCGATACGATTCGACGATTGGAGTGTGGCGTTTTTTTTTTTTTTGTTTTTTTTTTTTTGTTTTTTTTTTGTCTGATACATCTTTGATTCGTTTCGGCGTGAAAGCAACAAAGCACGTGAAATTTGTAATCATAGCACACGTATACGCCTATGAGGTATACCGATCTCTCCCATTTTCAATTTTCTTTCTTTGCAAAAATACTTTCATCTTGCACGCGATACTTGCGATACGGAGTATAGACCAAACGAATCAAAAAGCTATTACATTGTACGCTACCCATAAAACTGAGGCAAAAAAAATGTAATAGGTAGTTGAGAATGGGTTGCATATATACGTGTATAAGCCAGAGCGGACGATTCGGCGACACGTGGAAAGCATCGAAGCGATCGGTATAGGCCAGGTGCACGACCGGTGCTGCCCTCATTTAGTTGTAATCTTATGGAAGAAAATAGTTCAAGTGGCCATCATTGGCCAAGTTCCCCTGAAAGCCCACAAGCCCCAATGTCCACCCTCGTGCGCCCAACGTATACTTGTTGCAACGTAAGCTCTGTTATATCGGCGCGAAGGTGACAAATGTACGAAAAGGAGGCCAAACTCACCGAGCATCTTGCTGAGATCGGCGTTGTGGAGGTCAGGGTTCTCGTCGGCGAGTTTCTTGCGCTCGACCTTGGCCCACACCATGAAGGCGTTCATCGGCCGCCGGATGCGCTGCTCCTTGAGGCTCCTGGCAGCCGCCGAGGCGGCCCCGGGATGGCACATCTTCACCCCGGCGCCCATCGGACCCAAGCCCTGCTGGTAATCCTGCAACGACGGCCCCGTCGCCAGCCACGACATGTCGTCCAGCCGCTGCTGACCTCCGCTCAGCATCCCCGGCATCTGGACGAGTGGAAGATTTTTTGTTGTTGTTATTTTTGTCCGTCACAAGTACGATTGACGCGTGGAAAATACCCGCGCTTAGGCTCGCTTCGCTCCGACGGGCGTTAACTCATCCCCCCCTCGAAAATGAGCATCGGTTACCAAAGCAAGAGCACAGATTTCACTTGGAGCGGCCAAGAAAGAAATTCCTTTTAAAATCGGTAATTTACCGAGCAGTGGGGGAGCAAAGGATCGGCCGTCCCGTCATTTATGTATACACGCGCCGCGAAACGAAGGAAGGGAAGATAAAGATGCCCGACTGGCGTAAATTATTCAACTTATTTCCCAGGGACACCCCGGCCCCTTTCACGTGCCATTTCGCCTCGAGGGAGCAAAGTGCCAATCCTGCGGGTCGCCGGCGCGCGACGGAGCGTCTCTCTTTCTCTTTCTTTCCCGCGGAGAGTGAACCGATCGCCGATTTCCGGTCCGAGGAAATGGAAAAGGCTCGCCGGGGAGAGAGAGAGAGAGAGAGAGAGAAGGACTTTTTGTTCTCTTACCGGTATGATCTGCGTGTCCATCGACATGGGGCTCTCGTTGCCGTCGATGCCCGAGTCTATGTCGAAGGCCCTCGACGTGGGCGTAGCGTACAACGACGAGTGAAGCGCCAGCAGACCAGGCGAGCCCGCGTACCCGCTCGACGGCGGTGGTGTCACCTCGCCCCGCTCGTAGCTGTCCAACATTCTGCACGGATCACAAAACAAGCACAAATATTTTTACATTATCATTGCCACTGTTGCTGTTTGTTACGTACATACATATATACATATATATAATGTGAGCGCTACGATATCATGTAGTTCGTGCTCATTTATGCATCATGTATATATTTTAATTGGCACTTTGAACGGTTCGGGAAAATTGCGTTTATTTTCTCGAAAAGTTCAAAGTATCGGTAAAATATACGAGCAATGGAAAAGAATAATTCATGCATACAGGATGTGATACGGAAAAATTAAAAAATAACATAATAATAAATAGTAACCAGAGCTGTTGCATGTAAGAGTAGAATCGGAGCACTCGATTGGTCACGCAAGCACAATCGGACGCATCCCCAAAGTGAAAATCGACACTGTATATTTATACAGACAATAGGAAGCGAGTATACAGCATATACTTATAGTTACATAATAGCGACATCAAATCAAATGTCGCGTCAAAGCGGACAGATGATGTTTAGAGCGCAGTAGCAGGGTATCATACGCGAGCCGCGCAGACCAATTGTGTACCTCTTGAGATCTCTTGGCCGCAGCAGCGCAGCAATTATCCACGCGGCAAAACGACGTGTTGCCACTCGCCTCCGATACATATACATAATATATCATGTCCCCATCTTCCTCCAATTGAAATCGATTCGATGCGAGTATTCCGCTGCACACGTCACTGCTGCAGATAGCGGTGGGAAGGGGATGGGGGGGGGGAGAAAATACGCGGATTATTTTCAATTACGCCGTGGCGGAGATTCCTCCGCGTCTCTCTCTCTCGCGCGGCTCGTGCATTTATACACGTATAGGGTTGTACTCAGCGCCCGGTACGCTTATGTCAAGTGTAATTGAGTTCGGCCGAGAAGAAGAAGAAGAAGAAGAAGAAGCTGCATGCGCGTGGGCACGCGCCACGTCGGGGCAAAAAAAAACCCGCTTGATGCACTTATGTATATATGTATATATACGGAGGAGGGTGGCAGAGGAGGGGAGACAGAGAAAAAGGTGCGCTATATGTACAGTGGTGATGCGAAGAGCCCGTGGTGATGGGCAGCGCGTGCCTTGTAAATATGAACGCGGATAATTTAGCGGGAGGTATATATACGACGTGCCGGCTCGATGAATTTTTATGAGCTATTATGTACGATTAAAAAGGGGGAGGGGCCTTTTTTTCTCTCGTGCGCAACTGGATCGGTCGTTTGTTGTTTTGGGTATACTTTGTTTTTTTTTGTTTTTTTTCGAAATTCATTGGTTTTTCCTTATTAAATTGGTACAATGTACAATACAAAATGTCCNTTTTTTTTTTTTTTTCTTTTTACACGGATTCATTTCATGAGAAATAAAATATTTTCAATGACAATCGTAAAAATGCATAATTTGAGAGAACTCCTCACATACAGGTATATAATACAATATTTTAACGATTATTTAATGAAAAAAAAAAAAAAAACCTTTATTAACTAGTAAATGATGTACGTCGAGGCGTTTGATTGGTCACTTTTCACCATCACCTCGAGAGACAATAAGTCAGTGCAACGCACATAAAGCCGACATGTCAGAGCCAAATACGTTCGCAAGGTGCACACACAAGACCCATTGTCTCGTATCGCCATTGTATATATGTATATAATATGCGTATACGTCTTATGTATGAGTACAGACTATACAGACCCCGCGCGTAAGTATAAAGGTGCGCATCGCGAAATGAGACAGCTGATAATGCGAGACCGCAATGAGGCCGACGACCAACAGTCGGACGATACAATGCGTCATGTAACAAATTAATTCGACTGTTTGTCGAGCGTATAGGAAGACGCGGGCACATTATATATAGTCACTTCTTACTGCATTACGCTGCTCTGATTTTCTAATTTCCATTGCGATTGTGTGGGGGGGGGTATAGTAACAGCAGCTGATCGACATGAATGAACCATTCAAGGCCACTTGATGGAATTCCCACGATTGTCCGTAAGAGCCATATAATCGGCGAGCTTCTTTCTCTCTTTTTTTTCCACCCTCCTCCTTCCTCTTCCTTTTCTTTATCCGCTTCTTCTTCTTCTTCTTCTTCTTCTTCTTTCGCGTCACGTCGTATATAATACGCGACGCGAACACCTGTCCGCTCGCGTGTCCTCGTAAACATGACTCCCGTCAGTTGGGTACATCTGTTTGTCTTGGCTGTTTGGACAGTACGCGAGCCGTGTACACCCGTGCATATATACGCATCGTATGTAATTTACAACAGTTGTCGTATACTCTTGTCGTAAAAGATTGTTAATTTCGTTTAATCTCGCACACCGAGCAAATAAACCGAGTCATCGTGCGATTGAAACATTATTGTTGTTTTCTCTACAGATTCACTAGTGGGAAAAAAAAAAAAAAAAAAAATGAATGCTTTTGAGCGCTTCAGCAGCACAAGACAGTGGGCAGAGCTATCCTTTGAAAACCAAATCAACTCCAGCCAGTGAGCGAGACCCCCGTAGCAGCCAAAGTGCAAGTTCTCTAAATCAATCAAGCTGTCCGCCGTCCCTTGGCACTCCCTGGCCCTCGGTTATCTAAAAACACAAAAATTATCGTCCGTATACGGATGGGCGCATCGGACCCGCGTGATTTACACCCTGGCGCGTAAATCGCCACCGAGACGTCTCCGGTACGAGTGGGTATAGGTATTACTCTTTTGCCGGCGAAAATGCGGCAGCGGAGTGATGCAGCCGAAAGAGACACCTGACTGCAAATACGTAATAAACAAGTGCAGACCCTCGTGCCGTTCGAGGTGTGTGTGTGTGTGTGCCTACCACGAAGTCCCTGAAAACGTGTTCCATACGGTATATATACACCCTCGAAGTGGAAAAAAAACTACACGCTCAATAAAGACACGGGGACAAGGCGATAGCGCAAAGTGACTGTTACAAGCCGAGCTCGTTTTAATCCATCTCAAATCGTGCCCTGTAAATTACAATAGAGGAAAAGTTTAATCTCTTTGCGCCTCGCCGACGTACAAATCTACCTATATTATATAGTATATTATACACATCACGTGCATTATAATATGTGTGTATACACACCCGTACCTATGTGTGTATATATATATATATATTTTTTTTTTTTATTGCTCTCGCGATCTCGCAAAGATAGCAGATATATTTTTCCTCGTCACTTTTGCCCCGCTGTAAGTTCGTATACGTATGCGTTGATACACGTATATATTTATATTATAGTCGAATTTCCCGATCAGCCGTCAGATTGGTCAAAAGACACTCCCGATACACTATTTTTTTTTTTTTTTTTTTTTTTTTTTTTTTTTTTTTTTTTTTTTTTT